TTCAGTATGAGAAGGAGGTTTTACACAATAATCAAAAATGCACTGAAATTACCCTCAGAGTGCATGAGTTACATCCCACAGAGCAATAGAGCAGAAGGGAAGCTGTCCCAAGAGCAGAGCTGTTCTTCTGGGAGGCTGGCAGCTCACACTTGTTTTGTTCAGACAAATTACAGCTCTGGTGTCACCAGTGCCATGATGTGGGTAGGGCATGTGGGCCAGTGCAGTGGTTGCCCAGAGAAAGGGGTTGGGTTCACCCAGGTCAGGGGCTGGATTTGAAATTGCACAGAAATCTGGGAGAGAGATGATGTCACCATTTCTGTTCACTTTTAGTCCATCAGAAACAGCAGTGAGTGGTTCCTTTACTGCCTGTCAAACCAAACAATTCCGGTAACAGACCACTGCAACTCCTTTGCTTCCTGATGCTTAAGGATCTGCACATGCTGAATCATCCTCACAGCACAGAGCATCTCAGCTCTCAGACCCTCCAGGCCTCCCTGTGCTTCAGCCTCTCACCAAACTCACCAGCAGAATGACATCTTCTGTTTCTCTCTAGGCTTAATTTGTAAAATTTTGTGAGAAGTCAATTTGTGCAAGTTGAGCCGTGAGTATAAATCTCCATCTCAGGGGGAAAAAAAATCTCTCACCCACAAAGGTTCCTGTGTTGTATGTGGAAGGAAAGGTAGGAAGTCCCACAAGCTCAAAGCAAGAGGGAACTGTGCTGGGAACTCAGCTGGCTGCAATGCAGGATCCAAAAGCTCCAGAAATAGAGATATGCACATCAGATTCTTCCCCCTCACAACCTTCTGCTGTGGCATTGCCTTCATGGCAATAGATAATCTGAAGGTGATTTAATCCATGCCCTTTTCATGAGCCTCAGCACCACCTTCTCTGCAGTGAAATGCTTTTAACTGTGATCTGGTCTGTGAGCAGTGCCCATTTATAGTGCTGGCTTTGGAAACACAGCTTCACTCCTCAGTCCACCACAGGAAAACTCATTCCAAGCATTACTGAAGTCTTGCTTCAATCCTGTTTTGGGGATTTAAGTGGGATGGGCATTTTGTGTAGGGTCAGATGTGCCCTGAATGTGTGAAAAAGGCAGAAAAAGGACCCTGGCAGCCTCGTGCAGCTCTGCAGTTCACAGCCATGAGCTCAGAGGGAACAGGGACAGGGACAGCTTGGGTGTTCAGAACAGAGCAGAGGGACAAGCCTTCACACTTTTGGAAGGAGACTGTAAAGTTGTGGATAGATTTAGCAAATCCAGCAAGCAGCAGCGATTCTTGGAAGGAAAAGATTTGGGGAGCTCCTTTGCTCCTTATCTCAAGCAGAGTTTACTGCAGGATTTTTTTGAGCCAAAATGCAAGTTCCTCTTGCATCCCTTGAGTATCACAGCTTTCTGCTCTGCCTTGAATATCATCACCAACACTTCAGGAGTTCCCTAGGCTGTGCTGCACACCCTGCTCATACCAAACTTGCTGCTGGACATGCTGAACTCCAGTGGGACCTCTCCAGAAAGCATATTCCCAAGATTCTCCCATTAAAATTATTGATTTATTAATAACAGCATTTAGTGCATGCTTCAGGGAAGAGAGTCTGATCCATTCATTCACAAATCCTCCTGTAAACAGCACACAGCATTTTCCTGAATGCACAAAGAAATGGGATTAAATCAATCAGCTGCATGTCTTTTAAATGCTCTGTGTCATGCAGGAGAACCTGAGTGGTTCTCCAAGGCACACAGGGCTGCTGGCAATGTTTGCCTCCTGGGGAGCAGCAGCTGGTTTTGCTGTAACTGTGAACACACAGCAAGAGCAGAGGGTTGTGTCACCCACCACGGCAAGCCCACTGCAATCCAGGGAATTCTGCTCCAGTAGCAGCCAGAAAACACCAGGACCCCAGACTGGAACCCACTGGAGGCAGATTAAAACCATCCAGGCTGCACAGCTGGTGGCACTGAGAGCTTGGGTCAAACCTGTCTCACAGGTTTGGGATGCAGGAGGAGAGTGACGGAGATGGATGTGCCAGCAGGGAGCAGGAGTGGTCCAACATGTGAATGGGGTTAGGAAGGGTTTCGTCATTCCCTGCACATGGAACACAAGCAGGGAATGGCACCTGCGGGTGTTTTCTGAGACAGACCCAAGAAGGGGGGTAAGGTGAGCTTAGGGAAACGTGTATTCCCAAAAACTCAGTGGCTGGTCTTTATATGGATGTGGTGAGTGTGAGGCTGAGCTCCAAAGAGTGCTGGTGCCCCCAGGTGTGCTGATTTCAGGAGAGAATTTAAACGAGGTAAGCTATGATAGGAAATTTGGGACAAGGATTAGAGCTTGTTCAGGAGAGAAGGGACAGTAAGTTCTGGATGCACTTCTGTGTCCTCCTCCCAGACTTCCAGAGATTACCCTGGTCCCTGTGAGGTCTCTCGGACCCCCATTCCCACCCTTCTTAGGCTGGAAAAATGTCTACAGCAATTTCTGGTGACTTATCTTAATACCAGTAGTTCCTCCAACTGGAAGCTGCACTTCTGGTTCCCAGCCTAAATATACTTGTGACCTGTTTATCTTTGCTTGATTCAGGGCCATGATTTTGCAAAAAATATAACAGCCAACCCACATAAGTACTTTAAAATGCTGTCTCATATCAGATGCTCAGACCAGATCCTGCAGTTCTTGCACAGAGAAAAATCCTTGTGACCTTGGTGATTCTACTCCCCAAATAGTATTGGAATAAGAATTTGCAGGCTTGTCCTGTTTCACACCAGCTCCTTATCCCAGCAGCCCCTGACTGTTCAGACATGTATCCAAACAACCCAGGGCTTCCTTCAAGGTAGAGCAGAAGCTCCAGGAGCAAAATGAGTGTGAGTTGAGTATTGGTGATTCAGAAAACATTTTACATCTGTGCAATAATGTAATTGTAAATGCAGAACTGCCTGCCTTTCTCTTTATCTGGGATTTTGGGGTGGTTAAGGTTGGAAAAGGCTTCAGCCAGAACTTTAAGCTTCTGTGCATCTTCAGGGTGGAGAGTCCAGCCTGTCTCCAAAGCAGCATCCCTGTGTGTGAAGGAGAGAACACACATGAGCTTGGGCTTCCTTCATTCCCCACTCCAGGGATTCCCTCCTTGCAGCAGACAGGGAGAAAAGGTTGTTCAGGGCTGTACCCAGGCTCTGCCTTTTGTGGGAGTGATGCTGATGTGCCACTCGTCTGTTTTAGCATCAGATTCTCTGAAACACAGCACTGTGCTCACTGTACTCAAACACTGTGAGTTGTCAGACACAGATAAAAGCTCCCCAGCATTAACAGCAGCAACACTCCAACCGCTAAATTCAGCTTTGAAGTTAGCAACCCACTAAGCCATGGAGGCTGCTCCTTTCTGCGCTGACTCAGTGGGACAATTTACATCCCACAGCTATTTTTACAGGGAAAGAATGAGAAAACAGCCACACATTTATTTTTCAAAATCCATTCTTGGGTTCTAAGGAATTGTTTGCAGCAAGCCTAGATAGGTTTCCATGCCTATTCATCCCCTGGCTTATTTGATGAGCTTGCCAGCAGGAAGGATTTTAATTCCTTTTTATCCCAAACTATTTTTTCCATAGCTGTGATATGAAATGGTCCTGTCAAATAATTTAGGCTCAAAATCTGACCTATATTGAATAATATAAGATCTGAGTGTGTTCTTGGGATTTTAAGGGCAGTGTTTGTATTTCACTGCAGGATTTTTAATGGAAGCCTACAAGAAAACAAGAAAACATTGTCTTACATCTCCTATCTTAATCCTATTATTATTATTATTATTATTATTATTATTATTATTATTATTATTATTATTATTATGTGTTACTAATACTATAAGATGTGTTGATGGCCCACTTGCAACAGCGTACAAAAAAGGATCTTATGAAACAGCCATATGAAAAGACACAGAACCTGTATGTGTTTTATAGGACAGTTTCAAAACCTATCTTTTACTCACTGCCCACATTTCAGGCCATATCATCAGACATCAGTTGGATTGTTGGTGCAGACTGCAGGCAATATTAAGAGTTGCCATGTGGCTTCTTTAAGCCTATTTGGCAAAAGCATTCACCACTCTAAGGGTTGCAATGCGTTGCAAATACAGTAATTGCAGCTTTCAGTGGTAAACATCTCAAATGGCAGATTTGGTCTGTACTTTAAAATATGTACTGTGTGGGCAAAATCCTGCTTGGGAGCACAGGCTGCTTCGGGGCATGAGAGGTGGGAAGCATGGGAAGGCTTCATTTCGGTTTCGGAGGAACACAGAGGCCACCAGCACCCACACACTGCTGTTCTCAGCTCTGAAGGCTTCATCGCGCCCAGCACAGCTCCCAGACATCCCCTTCCAGTGGCACGGACAATGTCAGCGCACATCAACGTCCTCCGAGGAAAGGAAAGGGCAGAGCATCATCCCGGGATGTGACAGACATGGGTTCCAGTGCCTGAGGGGAATGTTTATCCCGCGCAGCATAAACACACCAGTCCGGGAAGCAACGTATGGCGCAGAGATGCCTTGAGTCACTTTGTGGAGATAAATTCTGAGTTTATGTCCTCCCAGCCCCGGCTCTGCCTTGCCCATATACGGCCCAGCATCAGCACTGCCTTGGCTTTGCTTCAGGAGCTGGAAGAGTGCGGATCCATCGCTCCGCCCGGCCTTGGGGGCTGCCTGGAGGGTGAGTCGGGGGTCTGCGCCCCGCGGCCGGCGGGTTGGGGTCCGCCTCAGCCCGGCCAGCCACAGGCTCGGCTCCGAGCCCGCTGGGATGCAGCAAGAGCATCTTCACTCGCTTCTACAGCAGCGCTTTGACGTGCTCAACGCCCGCGATGGGTTTAGCAGATGTGTCCTGCTCCCTGCAGGAAGGCCAGGACATCTTGGGAACAGGCGGCCACCGGCGCTACTGATGGCTGGGTGGGGACACGAGCGGAGGAGAAGTTTTCTGAAAGTAACACAAAGGGACACGGTGGGTGGCCGTGCGGGGACACGGTGGGGGGGTTTGCATGGGGGCACGGTGGGCTCGTGGCTGCGGCAGGGAAGCCGCCGAGGGAGGAAAGGGACAGACCGGGCAGGGTCCGGGGGTGCCGGGGCCGGGCCCGTCCCGCGGGGCTCCGGCGCTGCCCCCGCCGGCGGCGCCAGGACCCGACACGGCCCCGCGGGCAGGGGGCCTGCTGCCCCCGCCGCCCGTATGCCAGCCGCCGCCCGCCCTGCTCCTGCCCGGCGTGCCCGCGCTCGCCGCCGCCGGAGCCAAGGGGGATGCGGACCCCGCCCGAGGGGGCATCTTCCTGCCGCAGCTGCTGCTGGGCGGCCCGCTATGCCCGCCGCCCCCGGCGCCGCCCGCCCTGCCGGGGATGCTGGCGGCCCCCAAGCCGGGCGCCCCGGGGCTGCTGAGCCCCACGCAGAGCGCGGCGGGCGGCGGCTTCGCTCTGGAGGCGCAGCGGCAGAGGTGAGTGAGGGGACGGGGCTCGCCGGGCCAGCCCACAGCCCCCGCCCCCGCCGCGGCTGACCCCCGGGCCGTGGGAAGCGCCGGGACCCCCCGCGGGCCTGGGAAGAGCCGGAGTTTCCCAGGGCCCTCGGCCGGCCGGCGGCTCCGGGAGGGGGAGCGGGGCATGGGAAACGGGCGCCCCCGGGGACAGCGGCCGCGGGAGGCGGCGCCGGCCCCGCTGTAGCCCCGGGAGGGAGCACCTGCCCCGGCGGCCCGGCCAGAGGTGCGCGGCGATCCGGCCCGGGAGCGCTGCCCGGCCCGCGCTGCCGCCGCCTCGGCAACGCCGCTCGGGCCCGGGGGCGCGGAGGATGCCCCGGCCGGCGCAGCGGCCGATGAGGGGAATCTGCGGAGGGGATCTCTCGCTGAGGCTCTGTCTGCAGGTTTGCGGTACCCTGAACCCTGCCTTCTGCTTTTCCCCAGCCCGGTTTCTGCGTTTCTCTGTTTCCAGATGAAGCTGGCAGGGTCGGTGTTAGGCAGAGCGCTTCCTCCGCTGCTGGTGTCGTGCTTTCTCCTGCTCTTGTGCTGCTTGTCTCTGCAACTGTGTATTAATGAATGCTTGTGCACAGGGAACTTGGAGTCAGCCTCGGGGGAGGATGCTCTGGCCTTCAGAGCAGGATTACCGTTGCATTTCCAAGGGACTTCTGTCAGGCTGAAAATGTTGCTTTTCTAATCGACTGGAAGGCAGGCTCTTGCTCAGATCTTGGGGATTTGAGCTCTGAAAGAACTCTTTTCAGGCCGTTTCTTGCATAAACAGCTCTGTAAAGTGAGCTGGCCCTCTGAGCCTGCAGATAGGCAGCAGTATCAAAGGCTTTAAGTCTCTGTGGTCTTTACAGTGGCTTCGAGAGCTTTGTCAGTGAGCTGAAATAGAGATGTTGTCAGTGCTTTAAAGCTGGGGAGTTTGCTAATGCAGTTGATGGGTATCCCCTTTCAGTGTGCATCTCACAGTGGAGATGTCCTGTGTATCCCCAGCTTGGGGGTTCAGGTGAATTTGAAGAGAATTAGCTGTTTGTCAGTAATGTGAGCGGGTCCTCATGCGTTGTCCCTCCTGGGGTGTTTTCCTCTTGAAACGTTATTTACCACTCATTGCTTTTCTTGTCATGGAAGGGCCCTTTCCCTCCTTGTTTGTGGGAGAGATGGGAGCTGTGGCTGCCAGCTGGGTGCCCTGTATTGTGCAGTTGGGTGCCGCTTGTTGAGCAGGAAAGCCTGGAGTGAAGGTGTTGCTGTGGAGCAGTTCCTACCCAGCACTCCTGGTCCACAAAAGCCAGCACAGGAGGTGCTGTGTGAGTTAATTCCATTGCTTTTATAATGTAAAAAAGGCAAAGCTGTTGAGGGCAAGTTTTGTATCAAGAGTTTCAAAGCACAGTTCCCTTTGTGGATGTGGCTTTCGTTGTGCCTGTGCGTGCAGGAGAGATGATCCTTCCCCTTTCCATTAAGAAAATATTCCTAGGATCTTCCCATTTGATGTCCTTCCTGCCTCTTTCTTTGGCATCAGTTTGAGCTGTTCCACTACAGTAATTCTAATCAATCTGGCTGAAAAGAATGATGAATCAGAAAGAAAAGGTAGAAGTGCAAGAGGCAATCAAGGGAATCAAAAGGCTTCTGTGTGAGTAATGACAAAATAAACCATGGAAGATTTGGCTAGATATATTGTATTGATCAGTTTGCATACTGCTTTTGAGGGTGGTTTAGAGTGAGAGTTCATCTGGTTTTCATCTTGAAAGAAAAAGGGCATCTGCTGAAACCATCAAAAAGGAGATTCACATATTCACATAGACACACATGTCTTCTGACAAAAGGAAGTTTTGTGCTGCCAGTGGAGATGTGTTGGAGCCAATGTACCTCATCCCAGTCACACTGGGCACAGGAGTGGGTGAAATGGACCATCCCTCTGTAATGGCAATTTCACTGTCAATTTACAGGGTGAGTGACTTACCACCTTATTTTTCACTGGGCAGTTTCATGTCTGTGACAGAATATCTCCCATCCCCACTGAGCAGAGGCATCTCTTGTTGTAAATACATGAGGAATAATTCAGGGGGTTGCAGGAGGAATGTCCTTCAGGACAGTGGTGCTTTTACTCCGTCCCCTTCATGTTGGGTGAGCTGTTTGCAAACTAAGATTCCAAAGTCAGCAATTACAAAATGGATCTTCTTTGATTAGGACTTGGAAATCTGAGAATTGTTTTGCCATACAGCGATGTTGCTATTCCAGATAATGAACTGCCTGCATCATGCAGAGGTACAGGAGAGTGAAGTTGCTGGAGGGAAGGGGAAGTGGAATCTGCACTGCCATCCTGGACTTTCCATCCTTGGTATCCACTTTAGGCAGCTGTTCTCTTCAGAGTCCTTTTTGAGTCCCTGTCAAGAGCTGCTTTGAATTTTCCTCAGATGCACGAGGATCACTGGCTGCAGGGTCTCAGGCTCACTCTGCCTATGTTCAATGACCGGTCTTGTGCCATGTCTGGGAATTTCATCCTGCTGGGGCTTGCCCTGATCCATGGAGATCTCTGTCTACTATCAGCATCTCTATCTACTGACAGTATCATTGGGCAGAGCTTTATTACAAAACTTGACCTTGTTTGACTTGATTGAGAGGTTGCAAGGAGCTGATGAGAGCGGCCAGCGTGGCTCAGGGCAGGGTGTGCCAGCACCTCTGCTCCAGTTGGGGGTTGGTTATTGGTAACAGGATCTGCAGTACAGCCCAGGGAAGGAGACGTCTGCTCACCTGATTAACCTGGAGTTCCTCCACAGCTCTCAGGTCCTTTAGGATGGAAACTCACCATTCAAACCTGGATGCTCAGTTTCATTGTGCTGCTGGCTGAGCGTTATAAACGGAATGACTTCAACCTTCCACTTTCATTTTCCTAAGGAATGTTCTGTTTACAGGATCTTAAGTTACAATGCTGTGTTATACCAGCTTGCCTGATCTGCTTGCCATCCCTCTTCCCTTCTCCTTTTCCATCTTGCTCTGTTCTTTTGTTCTTTCAAAGAACGAGCCTCACAGAAGGCAGTGGAGGGAGGCAGCAAACAGGGAACAAATTGGCATTCACAGATTTTTAATGAATTTCTGCAGCTGGGTCTGAAACTGGCAGAGCTTTCTGAGGAAACACAGATAGCAGAGAGCCCTGGAAATAGCCAGGTTATGAAAGCATGGAAAATGGAAACAACAGCCCTGGATGTTAATGCTTGTTGTGCTTCTGAGGTTTCATTATAGTGTAATGTAAAAGCAGCTGGTTTTGCCATAATTTGCTGCATTTTTCTGGGCCTAAGAATAAACACAGAGACTAAATTATTTGTGACTGATGCTTTAATGTCCTTGGAGTTCAGTGGCCATGGAGCTGAACTGAGTGTTTGTGATAGCGCAGTCATTTCTGATTTATCAGCAAATTTAGGTCATTTTGAAAGTGGGAGTTTAAACAGTAGTTGATAACAGCAACACTCTGGACCTACTCTGCTTTTGAGTGTTAATTGGATGCCAGATTGCTGACATAGGTGTGATCAGATTAGTTCTGTGGGTGGAACAGCAGAAATGCTTCGTCAGGATTTTTTACTTGTGGTGGTTAATATGTTGTTTTATCCTACTGTCAGCTTAGCTGCTGTTGTCACTTCAAGGAATATAAATATTTTTATAAAAACCTATCTGCTAATAAACAGATATTGTTGAGATGGATGAAATAAAAAGTCTTAGTCTAAATTTTGAACCTAATTTGGAATAAGCTGGGCACATGGTGCTTTTCAGGAAGCAGTGAGCTCTGTCAAAGATGACAAGCTTTGACCTTTCAGAGGTGAACAGCAGACTGGGATGTGCTGCTCGAGGCTGAAAATGAGCATATTCTAAGCCTGAACTTCATTTAAAAGTCAGCTGAAAAGTTAAGGCTGCAGTCTCCTCCCCACGTTGCTTCAGCAGATTTCTCTCATATTCTTGACTGCAGGTGAATTACATGTGTCCAGTATTAAGTGTTTTATAGCTGCCTGTGGACATTCCCAGCCTGGTATATTAAGCAGAAGTAAGTTGTATGCCTAGCAGGAAACTTGGAGATCAGAACATGCAAGTCCTTGTATCCTGTGCACTCCTGTGAATGGGTCTGGGTCAGGCAATCCGGGACACTTCCAACTCCGAGGTTATTTGACCTCTTCAATTTAGGCAGTCCAGAGGCTTTAAAGTATCTTTGCTCTCCAGGCAGGAGTAGTCTGTGCACAATTAACTGCACTTGCAGCTGCCTTTACCTGTGGATGGATTCTGCAGCTTTTCAGAGTGATGCAGGAGGCCTGGCAGTGGGTTTTGTGATGCTGCAGGTTTTGGGATTCCAGCTCAAAGCTCCTTTCTGCAGGAGGTGATGAGGGTGCTCAGAATGATGTTGTCTTGCTTCAAGTCAAGGACTCATCAGCCAAGAATGAAAACACTACCAAATTAAATATAAAAAAACAGAATAACTTAATTTTGGGAATCCCATTCAGGCCTCTAGTGAGGAAGTCCTGTAGGAGTGTTACAGTATAGTATATTACAAGTCATTATTTAGTTATATATAGTATATTAGGTATATAGTATATTAAATACTGTGTTCTCCTGTTTTCCATCTGTCAACCAGTTAAAGCTGTGAGGCTGTCAGGCTGAGCGAGCTTGAAGATATTTTTGAGCCTTCTTTTGAAGGTTGTTCTGAGGGTGTCTGGCTCTGTAGTTGGAGTTTTAAAAATGCACAATGAGATTTAGGCTCTTTAATGAGCACAAGGTACTGTTGATAAAGCAGGTGACTGCAGATGGAGGGTGCTCAGCTAAAGCCACTGAGTCAACCCAGTTCTTCAGACAGAGCCCCAGACTCCTGACCTTTGGTTTACAGCCATTGTGTATTTAACCAGCTGTCACTGGAATTCACCTGGAGTTACTGTAACCTACTGTAAGAGGAATTTACCTATTCCCTGAAAAGGTGTTAAAGGAGGACCTTTCAGCTGGCCCTTTGTTTC